CTGTAGTATGTACTTTTACACGTAATAACGGCATTTAAACGCCCAGTTTGCCTTTTAAATTAATACAAGGTATGTTTACTGAGAACTTTTAAAGCAATGTACGGGAAGCGAGAGGTTATAGAAATGAAATGTTTGCTTAATATAATTTATTAAAGAAAAATTACTGCGCCGAGTGATAAATTTTATTACACGAAGGAGAAAAAATACGTCGAAGAATGAAAGAAAACAAAAATAGTGACAGCAGCACCCGGTATTCCCAGTTCGTGTCCGTCCCAAGTACTGACACCCGGTACTTTATAAGATAAAGCTGTTGTCTACGGAGATTTCTTGCTTCGTATTGAATGTTAATTTCCAGTGGCAATTTGCGTAGTTGGACAGACGAATTTGAATACAGGGTAAGCTATGGACGCGAGCAACACTGCCTAGGATTCAGTTATCAGTTACACTTATAACTGATAAATGGAGTCATCAGCTATTCTCCGTGTTTCGAATCAATCCATCATAAGCCAGGAGACAACTCGCATTACAAATCGTATTAGAGGTGTAGGCTATTTCCTCACCTCTTTTGTCTAACGTATTGCTTTACACATCTAGAATGAGATTTATAATATTGCGAACAGTTGGTTATTCAGTTCGTGCGATTGAAAATTACTTATTTCAAGTGTTTCTTTAAGTTTTTCTTCATTGCTGCGATTTTATCGGTAAGTTTAGACTACGATCTTTCTATATTTAGGTATTTTTGAAGATTGTTAAGCCGAATATCACAATTAGTGTCCATGATTTTCCGACAAATCTCTATTTGCATAACAATCGATCGTTGCGCGCTTTCTTCACAGAGACGACGAATGGGGTCATTCCGCTTATTTTGGACATACTTTTCACTCTTGTCGTTGTTAATTTTCGTTAAGTTCAAATCCAATCGACTTGTTAAAGCAAAATAGAAATTAATAAATACATTACATTGATATAGTTATATACGCATCATATCCCACATGAAATTTGCTCCTTTAAATGATTTTTTATTAGAAATCTTACAATTGACATAAAATTAAGACATAATGAATGTTTTCTTAACTATTACGACTTGTATTCTTTTGCAGAATGGATAATTTCAAAGAATTAAAGAAGTGATGCACCTCGGCAGATGGTGAGAAGGAAGAAGGCGCCTCGGCGTTTTCCACCTCGTTTCGAGTGATTCGGGTGCTTCCGAAGGATGTCGAGGAGAACGGAGAGCGCGGGTCGCCTACACCCGACAACAAACGGGTGGTTATCATCACTCCGAACGATAGCGCCTCTGTGGTCAACTATCTGCAACGACGATACCCGGAAGTTGCAGAATAAACGGTGAAGTGTCGATCACACGATGTAGGATAGGAATCGAAAGTGATCGTGGAAATTTCCGTCAAGCGAAAGAGGCTTTTCTTCTGTTGCATAAAATAAAGCTTTTCTCTGCCGAGGTTATCTTCCCCCGATGTCGACTTTTCACCGAATACAGACTCTGCCACCCAAATACAACTTTTTCACCCGGAAATGACGTTTCATCCGGCTACGATTTAATTCACTGGACTTGACTTTTCGATTGGGTTTTTTCTTTTTCAATTGATTGACAGACATTTTGGCAGTGCCAGAGGACTCGTTGTTCCTTTTCGATTAAATTAAAGTCCGACAGTTTGATAGTCGGCAAAGTGACAAACGTAAGGCAGTGTTTGTCGAGTTTAAATACTGCGTTACGTTATTGTTTAATCGTCAAGGCAACTTATATTATACGGACATTCACATTGTATTTAAACCGGCGTTCAACTGTTAACAAATTCCACCATAAATAGCAGATATTTGCCACTAGTATGCACTAAGAGAGGAAAACCATTTCAACGTTGAACTTAAATAAGAAAACATTGTAGTCCGTATACATCCAAACCAGAATTATAATTATTTCGACAATTAAATTTGTAAATCGAACTGTCTTAAGTGTATATAAAGTTTTATATTTAATAAAAACGTAATACAAAATTTAATAATTGTTTAAAGATTCGATATTTATCAAAATAAATATTAAAATTGCACATTTTTAGATTCATTAAAATGTTTTTACTTTTTATAAATATTTCATTTCATCTCCGTCATCTTACAAAAATCATTAATAACATTATATATCCTTGGTAGAAATACACTATCAGTGACGAAAAAATTTACGTCATTTGCGTGGCCCATAAATTTATCTTTTTTCGACATTCCAAAAATGTATACTGAATTAATTTTCCTTTCCCAAGTCTAATTTTCTATTTCTACTGTCATGAATTACTTGTGAACTGGAGGCTCTGTCAAGCACGACAGCAACAATTTCTCAGTGCAGCTAAGCTATTGCCATCGTCCTGATAAAACAGTTTCACCAATAAAGCTTTGTCTTTTTTCTTTAAGGGTATAATTAAAGACGCTCAGAATGACTTTCAGGTTTTGAATGTATTCTTCTTTAATAGGTCTGCTTATTTTGCGTAAGAATTTCGTAAAACAGTCATACTGTGGTGACATCTTTTATTGCAGAAATCTCTTCCCCGTGGCCTGTTTAACGTATATACAAAGCTTCATCAAAATCCGATACGCAGAAATGGCTCTAGAAGGGTCTGAATAGGTCAGTTTAATTTCCTTTTCACACCTGGAATTCGCCCTTCTTTTTATTTTAAGGATTAAAAGATCTCAAACAGTACTTTCAATTACAATTACAATACTTTCCCGTGTTACACTATAACAGCCGAGAAATTGAAATAAATTTAACATTAAGTTATGATAAAAACAATAATTACCTATTTATGTGTAATAAAGCAAAAAGAAAGTAATTGGCTTCCCAACAGAATGCTCTCATTTTCAGGCTTTCGGTTTCATTAATACATTGCAACTGCGGTTGATTATTTAATTAATCTGTAGATAAACATATCCGAGACTAAAAAACTATTACTTTTACTACTACTTTCCGGGCTCCGATAGGCCTATATAACAGGAAAAAGTATGGCAATGGTCTAAAATAACTCCTCTAAAAAACTTTTACAATTTTGGACTCGAAAGACCTTGAAACGTCGAGAAATGCTAAAAGTTTGGGGTTTTCTGTATGTATGGGTTTGGGTGGGGGACGATTTGTTGACCTACTTTTGTGAGGCCCCAAAAAATGAATTGAAATTAAATATTTATTATTAGAAATTTTTTTAAACGAAACTAGAAAAAATCGTCTATTGTTAAAAACCGATCAAAGATCGAATTAGTTGTGTTAGTCATATGAAACCGCGACGAGAGAAAAAAAACGCTATTGATGTAAACGGAACGCAATAATTTTAAATGATTAATAATTGTAAACAAACGACCTCCAGTAGAGATGGACCTTTGAAGAGTCGCTCATATGCACATAATTAGAACATAGAAATTTTGAAAAGAGGAAAGATTAATGACGAAAAAGGGCATCGCGTCGTGTCGTTAAATTTCAAAAACGTCACAGACTAGACAACAATGGTGGAAAATATGAGCGCAAGTTTCAAAGTTCCATCAACATTTTGCATCCAGAATAACGGATGGTGTCAAGTAGATTCTTCAAGGCGGATCTTTCTCGTGACTCGAAAAGGAATCGTCTTTCGCTTAGAGACAGACGAGGGAGCCAATCAGAAGAAACAAATTAGAGAACGGAGATTGATATAATCCCCGATCTTGAAGGACAGGAGGACCTCTTCCGTAAACTGTACTACGGAGTACCTGCACTCCGGAGCGAAAAACTCACTGTGTGTCGACGCACAGAAGACGAAGATTTCGCACTAGTGACCATCGAGAGAGCCGTGCCGCCGACGCTTACCGACAAGTCTCCTTAAGGCTGGTATACACGGTAAGGAAATCCTCAAAGGATGTGCTTAACAGACGAAAAAAACTCGGATATAACTGGCTGGATCGAACATAGTAATTTACAAAACTCATTAAAATATCTCCCAACGTATAAAGAATTGTTTTTATTTAAAAATGGATAGATAGAAAAAGAAATAACGGTTAATCCTCAAAGGATTTCCTTACCGTGTATACCAGCCTTTACCTGCCGCAGTCCCGGGGCCCATCTCCGAGGGACGATAGAAAAACATCCTCGACACTTAAAACTTACGAACATTTAATTGGTTAAGGAACTTTGTGCATAGTGTAAGTTATTTCCTGTTAAATTAAACAGATTTTTGTCAGATACTTGTCATCTGTGTCTCCTCCGCCACACCCACACGCGAACGACCCTAGATCATCCTGACGCGGGATTAACGATTCCCCCCGGAAGTCGGCGAACTTACACTTTGATAGTTAATAAATAATTCTTGTTTCTTTAGTCAAAAATGTCTAAAATTTTGCGGGCAGGTTTATATATTAGGGGCATTGGTACTATTAAATTTTGGTGGTTAAAAGTCTAGAAGTGTGAAGATAGAAGGGTCATATGTCGAGTGCAGACATACTTAATGAAGATTTTACTCGTTATTAAAATTTACAATTTTTTTTAAACTCATATCTAACCTCAAAATTAATCTCTTTGATATTTTATAACAATTAATAATATAAAATGTTTTAAAATAAATTATCGTAACACGTGGCGAGACACGCAATTTTAAATTTTTTACCGGAAAAATTACGCAACTTGTAGTTCATTTTTTCTCAATTATCAGTTGGAAATAATTTTTTAGACTCGTCATTTGTTTGATTATTGCCTTTATAGTCGAACGTTTTCTTATCGGCAACATAATTATAAGTTCAGTTATTTGTTTAAATATTCACACTTATGTAAAGAGAATTGTCACCTTTCAGTGTTTTGAAAGTTCGATGCCAAACTCCGGGGTTTATTTATTCTTTCTCCGAATTTAAAATTGTACAGTATTACATAATTTATAAACTATTCAAATTTTTTAGAATTTATTTCTAAATTATTTGCTAAAAAATTTAATTTTAAAAACAGGTACTAATAATATAAAAATAACTTGTATAAACATGTAAATTATACAATAATATATTTATTAACTCTAACAATCCGAAATATTTACGATGATAATTTTATTAAAAATTCTTATGAACTTCTCCCGAACGGTGTTATTAATTAAGGATGTAGTTCTTTCGCAATATCAGCTTTTCCTATGGACTGAAGAGTTATTGCTAAATTGCCAACAGTAGTATACTCTGGATATTGTTCCTTCCACAACTGCAGCATCTGAATAATTGTTTCCTCTAGATCACCATTATTATCAGTCTGCAGTGTTGACAATTGTGCTTCGGTGAATACATTTTCTGTGAATTTTCATAAAAAGAAAGAAACAATTTTACTAAGTTTTTATTTTTTAAATGATAGATAATATACTATCCTTTCAAAATACTAGAGAGCGCCATTTTAAGAAGCATATGTATCAGAAATACAGGGGATATGACGTAGTCACAAGAAAGAACAAATGCTTATGTTTGTTGTATACAGAAATAGAAAAGTCACACTTCAGAAGATAGAAAGAAATTATGGTCATCAGTTGGAGAACTGAAATCCGCAGTAAGAAAAGATAAGATGCTGCAATTGATGCCTATATAATATAGTAGTTTAAAGAACTATGCGATCTCAGAAATGACATATCATTAGGTTCTCTAATATTTTGAATGTAAAGTATAATCATTGATGAAGTAATTCATAACATTTGAAACTTACTCGGTGGGAGAAAACGAGCCAACTTCCTCCACGAGCCGGAAATTTTTTCTGCAACTAAATACAAGTCGTCTATCTCTAGCATCCGTTCAGAATCTGGAAATAAAATCTCCGTTATACTTTTACAAACTTAAAATTAGATACTTTTAGTTTAAAACGAAAGGAGAGAACAAAAACTCGGAAAAATAATATAGGAAACTTTGCTTCCAAAGTTTTTCTCTTGGTGCATGACTCGATGACAGCGAACGGATTTTTATATTCCCCGGTTGACTTTCATTGAACGTTCAACATTAGGAACGTCATTCATTAATTTTTGCTGGCTATTGCCTGCCTAAAAGTCTTACCTAAGTAAGACATTTAGCCAGGCAATTGTAAAAACAACAGCAGAAGAATCTGATAGAATGTTGAAAAAATTTTAAGATAAAAAGTACTGCTGAAAACATTCGTGAAGTTTAAGTCGGGCAATTGAACGTTAAAAACAGATGAGTTTAAAGTTTTGGCACAAATCATTAGGCTTTGTTGAGTGACCATGAGCGTTATCTAAATTTAAATTCGAAACTAAAGTAGAAGAATGAATTGATACTTTCTGTTTCTAGTTCAAATGTAATCTCTATCAGGAAATTTTGATCTATAGTAAGTTATTCAGAATATATTGGGTACCTGAGCGGTAATTTTTGCTGAAAAGTTGTTGATAATGAAATTTTTAAAAATCTCTTTACGCCTTGTGGACACTAAGAAGGTCTTTTTTGGCAAGCCCATTACGGCCATGTCCACAACGTGATGGCCGGGTGGTTAGGGATGGAGCTCGACATATCCGGACAGACCATTTTCCGACAAATTCCTGGAGTTTTTTCACCCGTCTGCATTAGATCCAGAACACCAAAGCCGTGGGCTTATACCCTAACCGCTCGACCATCCAGTCGTTATAAAGAAATGTTACAGACAAAATTCGCAAAAAATCGTCTAATTTGGAGGTCGCGATAAATTTAAACGTATTTATTAATTTATTTATTTCATATATAGCAGGAAATGTCGAGTGATAATAGATTTCCGCCTGTTAATAACTTTAACCTGATTCCAATAATATCTGTTTCCAACATGTAAATCTTGACCTTTATTAATTATAATATTTCCTGAAAAATATAAAGAAATTACTGAAAGCTGAATACGTTTAAGTTAAAATAAACAAATTTAAACGAAACTACAGTACGTTTAAATTAACACAGAAAGTATACCCTGGTAAAAGAAAATAAAGTAGAAAATAGTTTATAATTCTTTTCCTATCATTAACCTGATTCCAATAATATCTGTTTCCAACATGTAAATCTTGACCTTTATTAATTATAATATTTCCTGAAAAATATAAAGAAATTACTGAAAGCTGAATACGTTTAAGTTAAAATAAACAAATTTAAACGAAACTACAGTACGTTTAAATTAACACAGAAAGTATACCCTGGTAAANGTTAATAAAAAAACGTATCCCACAGATGCTTATGTTGCTATACTAATAACTGGAACAGTGATTAATACAGTATATGTATCAAGAATTTCAATGACCTTCACCTATAAAGCTGAATACGTTTAAGTTAAAATAAACAAATTTAAACGAAACTACAGTACGTTTAAATTAACACACAAAGTATACCCTGGTAAAAGAAAATAAAGTAGAAAATAGTTTATAATTCTTTTCCTATCATTATTATTGTATTATTTTATTTTACGAATTAACATAAAATATAAATTATATATTAATTAATTAACAGTGAGATTACAATTAAACTATGAAAATGCAGTTATGAGATACCACAAAACATTAATTATCTGGGAGAAAGTTCTTTTATAATCTCTTATGGCACGACATTATTTCAGAGGTTGCTCGAAACTTATGACAATTCTCAAATAATACTTTCTAGAAAATGGCTTATAATATTATTCAGTTGTTACTATATGGAATGGTTTAGGTTCTGTTTAATGAGAGGCACTCTGTCAAGAGGGAATAAGAAGACTTTCTATTTGAAACTGGCCCCAATTTAGATTTACAGTAGATACGTGAAGAAAATCCGGAAAACTCCAAGTGGCCAGTTAGTTGGTCAGGCGCGAATCCATGACCAACTACGTGTGTTCAGAGGTTTCATCCACTCGACCACTTTTGGGTCTGCCTATTTACACTAGAGCTTTACATATTGTAATTTTCCCACTCTTTTTGTCAAAATATTCGTTTAAATGTAGATTTTAATTTTGCATATTTTCACTAGGAATGTCTCAAAATGTTGTGAAGGTTAATTAATGAAATCAAATTTTATGCAACTGAAAATTTCTAACATGAAGAAATCTCATTTTCTTCCGTAACTACAGTACAAGAATGTAGGACGATTCTATTTTGTACTTAATACTGGTAAAATATTTTCGATTTTTTTTCGGATATAAAATAAAAAGACACTTTTCAGAAAGTACTACAAAATATAATAAGAAAAATCATAAAGAATCAGTTATATTTCGTAAAATCTTTTGGCTTATAAGATATAATTGGAAATAAACCTCAATAAATCGAAGAAAAGCATAATTATGGTAAAAAAGAGAGAATCAATGTTATATCATACTCTCAAGTTCATCTAAACAAACTTATGATAAGTTGATTTTTCGTAGATTTAAGATTACAATAATAAAGTGAATTTATGAAAACAAACATAATTTCAATTGGATTGGTAGAATATAAGGGAGCACAACACGGGCGTTCTACCGAAGAAGTGCCTCCCAGGACTTTTTATAGTAGATTAACCCATTTAGATGTTAGGCACACAAAAAAAAATCCCGAAAAAAAATCGCATGTTTAACCAAGAATCCGAAATAAATTATCACTGAGTGGCGACACAATTCAAAATAATGTCTTTCAACGCTAACTTTAAATGCAACAATTTTAAATTATTACTTTCTTCATTATTAAAAGACTGAAATCAATTGAATTCCAGTGTTAATGGTGTAACTACACGCCACAGAATTCTTCCATCTCTTGGATTTCGTGCAACTTGGATATTCTTAAAAATCCAAGTTGCATGGTATATCATTATATAAAGACAATTAGCAGTACAGTATATGTAAATATAGATTCACAGTAACGGCCTGTTGTTCGGTATATTTTCTAATCTAGGCAAAACTTCATTTATGGTAATTAAGTAAATTTAAAATAAAGTATATATTTTAGTTTACTTACCAGCACCTTTCTTTTCGGCCATATTATTAATGTATGATTTCGATTCGTTGGAATAACTTTGACTAAAGAATTTAAAATAATAAATCTGAAATATATTTGTAATGATTTAAAGAAAATTTATTTTTAAATATATGACTAATTTATACATCTAAATATTACTAAAATAATTTATAACAGAAATAAATATTTCTCATATTTCTATAAATTTAAAATACAGCCACTTCTCGCGTGATCTATCTGTTTAATGGCGCAAGGGCCTCTTTCGGCCATTTTTTATTCATAAATACTACGTAAATTACAGTCGCGTGGTTTTAAAGTCAAAAACTTTAAAAAGCAAAAGTTATGTACGCTAAAATTATTAATAACTCTGAACTGAAATCATAAAGCTGTGTAAACAAATACAGAAATATTATAAAAATACTAAAAGCTGCATAAAATTATTCAATAAAACGAAAATCAATATAAGTAAATGTATAAAATAAAGCATAAAACGCATACCACAAGACAAAAATAGAATGAAATAAGAAGACAACAAGTACAGAGCTAGTATGAAATATTAAAAAAACTCTATAAAATCAATCAACAAAAACGAAAGTAGAAAATATAAAAATCTAGCAACGAGTTGCTTAACTTTCCATTCAATATTTAAAACTACATATGTGGCTCCATCCGTTACGACATTTTATTGTTAAAAATATTTTATAGTTTTAATTATTATAAAGTGGCAAATAGCTTAATTTTGAGCTTAGGGATAAGTTTTATAAAAAAATATTGTAAATGCCCCCTTACCAGGGCCCTGTACAGCTCCTAATAATTCCGAAAATGACAATGATGACCTGGAGCCACTATCATCCTTTCAAAGATTGGATGACTATAATATTGTTTTGTATGACTCTTTTAAATGAATGAACTTTTAAATTTTGGCCTGATTACATTTTTATATTTTGTAACATGTAAGAGCTGTAAATTAAAGCAATGCAATCGATTCGATGTTTCCTTTAGACTATTTCTTTATCCTTAATAAATAAAACGTTAATCGACCTAGTCGTAGGAACGAAACTAGGTCGTTAAGTGATGAGTGCCTGATTAATTTTCCTGAAATAGGAATGCCGCGGATTAATTTATATGCTATACAAGAAATACAGTATAACTTCCCTTTGAGACCACGAACATTCCCCAAAACATTTCCGTTGGTTTAAAGAAGACAGGAACCTCTATTTTGCGATCACTTTTGATTTTTCCCGAGAGGGGTCACAAATTTTCTGTATTAAACATCGTGTAATTTCACATCGTAATTACGAAAAATTAGTAAATAAATAAACAAAAATGAAGGAAAGTTAATTAAGTTCAACAGAATTAATTAAAACATAAATCAAAAGTGTATATAAAAAACTTCTTTCGGATTCTTAGAAAAAATATTTTATCATCATCCAAAGAAATTAAATCCAAGATCATTAAATCTATATGATTCCGTGAAATTTAGTGAATCGACGGTTAATAAAAAAACGTATCCCACAGATGCTTATGTTGCTATACTAATAACTGGAACAGTGATTAATACAGTATATGTATCAAGAATTTCAATGACCTTCACCTATAATAAACTCGTTTTTCTATATTTTTCCTGTTCTTGAACAATATTACAACTTATTCGCATGATTATTAATTATATTTCTTATATTAATTTTATAAAATAATACTATTAGTAGCATCTATCGCTTAAATATGCTTCTGTATATTGAGTTTAGGCACCTTCATTAATAAAGAATGCTTCGTATTTCTAAAAACTCGTATTTAGCCTAACGAACTTCAACAGATTCGTCCTTATTTATCGTTAAAATTAAACAACACAGCTCAACTTACCCCTTTTGATATCAAACAAGTTACGATCTGGATAATTA